TCGGGTAGGCCTGGGAGGGAGGTTTGGGGACTTAGTCCATTTTCGTAGTTTATAGTTCACTGGGGTAACTTTTCCTTGGGTTCGCGGCCATTCTATGTTCCTTGTGTTGTGTCTGTTTCTGTGTTCCCCGTGCTTTCTTTCTTTTCCTTTTGGGTTTTGTTTTCATGGCCTTGGGACCGATCAAGGAAGAAAAGAACGGGATCATTAATTCCATTTTCCAAACGGAATCATTAATTCCAAACTCTACCCGACCAAGATCATGAAAAGTTCGCCCCTAGACGGTCCGCCGGTCGGGTAGGGGCATATGGGTAGGGCTCTATCCGTGCAGGACTCTAATTCCTAGTTCCTCCAATAACGAAAAGAACTGCTGTTTTACCGATGAATCATTTAGAACTCCTTTACTCCCTGGAAAGCCATAACAATGTTGACAGCACGCATGAAACGAACATGTTTACGAAAGGTGATGTTCGATTACGATCTTCTCCTAAGTGAAGATTACGAGGTGCCTATGAAAGGTAAATGCGTCCTGCCCCTTTGCATGCTTTAGTCATCAAAGTAGTCTGCTGAAACAAATGGAATTTCAAAATTCCAATTTTCCGCATTTTGATTCCCTGCCATGAATTTGCTCCTGAACTAACTTTATCCCACACCGTGCAGACAGTAATCCTATCAGGTAGATCCAGCTGGGATTCTTTGAAGGCATGGAGAACTTGGTGATTTTCAGCTGTACGCACTGCGACTTAGGCCTTATTTTGTGGAACGGGTCATTCGCTTTCAACAGTGAGGCTCTACAGAGGGTGCATCTCAGTGATATCTGAGTGCCATCTCACACCTGGAACCATAGGCAATCACAGGTATAAACCATCCTCAACATTGCCTCCTTCATTGGGCGAGAGATCTATTGTTAGTTTCAATAACACTTGCTTCATCTTTCGCCATGCGAGAAGTTTGTAGACCAATTGAACACTATGTTATTTCCCTCATTTATTCCAGGTTTCACGCCTGACGAGGGTATATTTTCACTTAGGAACAACATCAGCAAACTGACAGAATCATTCCGGTCCAGGCTGGAGGTCCTCTCGCTTGGGATCGGTTACGTCGGCTTAAGTGATGAGTTGAAAAGCGGCAAACTCGTACTTTGTATGATCAAACCTCCCACATCTGCTGCATCTTTGCCGCCCACGTCCCAGGGAATCCAATCGTCTGTGACTGCAGCATGGCCTGGGTTATGCTGAATCCAGACTTCCTCGGGAGCGTGGAGGGCCGATGTACTGATGGAACTATTTTGGGACACCTGGATCCTAATGATTTTCAAAATTCCATAGAGACCGAACCACCGATACCAGACGACCTTCCACTATTGACGAATTCCAATCGAGCTGGACCAATGCAAAATGAGCACTTCCAATGATGAACGATCATTACATTCAACGATGATTTCCGTAATCTGTACGGCAAGAGAACCACGAAAATAGGATTATTTTTGTTTGTGGAAGAAAAAGAAATGGTCTCTGGAAGAACTAGGGATTTCTTTAGATAATCAATGTGTTTTCTAACAAGAAGACAGGACCACACATAGAGCAATAATTGTATCTCGGCAACTTGCAAGATTCACCAATCACCGATTCACAGATGCCACTTTTAGATTTCATGCTGACATGATATGAAAACAAATGAAACCTTTTCCAGAGCGTTACATATTCGAAAATATATTTTAACAAACCAACGAAGAATAAAAGCCACATTTTCACTTGAAGGACACCTCTGAATCTAGCGAACAAAAATTGTGTTCATTAAGTGTAGCGAACGTGTAGCAAAAATTGTAGCAGTAAAATATGTATGCCTAATTATTTCCGACTGTTCATTACGTTGTAGGAGGAAAAGGGCTGAACCAACGCATTGATCAATTTGGACGAAACAGATTTTCCTACCCATAAATAAATGTTAGGAGTTGCAACATTGACTTTTGAGGTCACTCACAAGGGAATTAACAGTCACCTTCCTCATAATATGGAATTATTGGTCACATATTTATTCATTTATACTGCAAGCGTCAATTCATTCAGAAATGTCCTTCGTCCGTTTCCAATCAATCATCAGAAACCTGGATGTGCAAAAAAAAGGTTTAAAAAGATGCATGTCCAAATCGGGAAGAAATTTGGCACCGGCCCATGCGTATTGCTGACATTTTCCCAACGAGCTTACTGGGTGATTCACCTTCACCACCAATCAGTCATGATCGTATATATATCTAAGATACCTAGGTATATAGACGATCAAGACTGAGTGACTGAGTCACTGAGTGACTGGCGCTAATTCAAACCATGTTCTAGAGGAGTTAGAAATCTGAAACTTGGTACTTCGTACTTGGTAGCTTTTGTGATGCAGAGTTCAGAAAAATCTGAATTTGGAGGTACATCCCCTGGGGGTATACATTTTGGGGGTTTATGTACCTAGGTAGTCAATGATATACATTTGCTTGAATCAAACGGAGAGACATGGAAAGAACCAGAGAAGAACGAAACGAAATTTTAAGTAGGGATGAATGAATGGAAGGAAAGTCTTAATTTTATCCTACATGCCCCAAGGGCATATATTTTGGTCATAAAAAGCTCTCAGATACTCAGATACTTATCCTTGAGATGATTTTTTCTAGCTGGTTGGGAGATTGAGTCAACTCGCACTACCTCCTCATAGAAAGTTGAGTATTGGTGTCGCTATCGAATGCTCTGTAAAGGGTGTCCCAAAAGGAATGGAACCATTTCAAAAGTTAACCCCTTGAACACACCAGAAATTGAATCTTAGCGCACCCCTGATACACCGACTTTTCTGACTATTCGTGATTTATCTTACGAACTAAGCGTTATTTGACATATTGTTTATTATTTATTATTTTGTGGCTACATCAACTCTTAGCTTAGGGGTTCTACAAGCTTTTGTGGCATTTCTGGAGCGTTTATTCATGTGTAAGTTCACTTTGCATTGCCGGCACTGGCAGAACTGCCATCTTCTCCATCTCTGCCGTTGCTTCACCACCCCCGTCATCGCTGTCACCGGAGTCACTAGAATCATTTTCTGAATGTCCGCTAACATCATCTCTCGAAGAGTCAAGTGACGTACTTGAAGACTCATCCAGAATATCTCGATTCATATTCAAGGCAAAAATCGCTCTCACGCAATAAATTACTGACGAAACTTTCCTCAACACCACATTTTCCCTTCCTGAGCAACGCATGACTGTTTATGGGGAGAGTGCACCATACAGGATACTTTTTCTGCCGAAAAAAGTGAGCTTTAACCGGAAGGCTGTACTGGTACGATATCTGCTAAATATCAGAGAAATTATCAGCCATCGTGCAGATGTCACAGCGAGAGTGGTCGTAGCGGGAGATTTCGAAATTCGCATGACGCACCCGTATACGTCATGTGTGTATCAGGGATGGACCTGGCCCATAACGCATATGGTTGCGTCATGTGTGTTCAAGGGGTTAATGTCTCACTAATATATGCCTCAAATAAAATGATGAAAACAGGGAAGTGGCATCGAGAAAGGGGGACTCGCTAGGAGGGATATTTTCGTCGATCATTTGCTTACGCCATTCTGACTCTTACTCTCCGTGTCTGGTCGGCCCTCTGAAATTCACCCCAGCGTCTGTTCCCCTTTCCCGAAGAAGTATCCGTGATACGACATATGCTGTCGATTCCAACCCCGCAATAATTAACATATAAAATGCTGTTTTCAAGAGGCGATTGAACGTAGATGCTTTAGTGCATAAGTCGCACTGACCTTTGTCTTTGAGCCATCGGCACCATTGCCTGATCGATCCTTCGAGCACGTCATCCTGTATGCAACTACTGCTCGATGTGACAATATTGATGACTTTGTAGGAAAAGGAGACAAGGCCATGGAATGGAATCCGGTGCCACATAAGCCAAATTATTGCGGCACAGGATTTGAACGGGCGACCGCGCTTTCCTCTTCCTGGCCTGCAACAGCTTGGGTGTCTATTGTAAAAAGACTTATTAAATACCAGACATTCAGGAAACCCTCATAGGTCTTTGAATCGTCGGTATGCATGTTGTCGCAACTCGTAGCTCATCGTAGTTCACGGGGGTCCTCCTATGTTATTCCTCCCAGCACATCGATTAAATAGTCATAGGTTAATAGGTATCCCGCGTCAGACTAAAGTAACAGAGTTCTAGGCCAGGTGTGAAGTACGGTCGTATTGCTGGCCACTGGTATCTGCCGCTGGTGTATTACTATCGGCACCATCGGCGGGGTTGCAATCTGCCGATGCTGGAAAGCAAAGTATGGGTAAAATGGATAAGAAAAACATGAGCGTTTGAATACGCTCAAGCGGTGACCCGCGCATCCAACTGAGAGCTACTCCTGTCCACCTCTCCCAAACGAATACAGGGTGTCCCAGAAATATCCGGCCGACATTGATCACGTATATATTTCAATTTTTAATTTGAAAGAGCGGCGTTTTACAATTTTTGGCATAAAGTTTTAATTGATGTTTGTTTATCCTTTTTCAGAAAAAGCTCTGTGAAAATGGCTAACAGTTTAGCATTTGAAGAAAGAAAAACGATGTTGAAAGGGTGCTGTAAATGTGGCAATGTGAACAAAGCCGGGCGAAATTTTGAACGGACTTTGAACAGTAGTTTAACTGTAGAGTCTTCGTGGGTCATAGAATAAGCACCAGGCTTCGTTAACGCAGTTGGAAGGATATACAAATGTTATCAGCCTTGAGGGTGCGTTTCAAGAACATAGTCTTCGATCGTGCTAAAATGGTATTATTGTCTCCCAGTTTTTTGAGGAACTGTTTCCTGCAGCATCTGGCCTCAACTTCTTTTTATCTTGAGATATTTATATGTTTCGCTCCTCATGCGTTAATCACAAGCAAACCCGACAGGTGCGACAATTCACATCCGCAACGATGGGAATCAGGGCCCTACCGAAAGGACGAGCCAACGACATCGGAAACACTCATCCACTTCTTCCCTTCTCCTCTCACCGTCAAGATGAAGAAACGCTTCATCGTTCTCTCCCTCTTCTGCCTCCTTCTCCCCTCCATCCGCCCCACAACCGGGCAATACCCCTGCCCCGAACCGGAAGACATTTCCCCTTGCACTTGCTTCACAAATGAGGAAGGAGTGCACGCGGAGTGCTATCAGGCTACATCGAGTCAGGATATCTTCTTCGCCTTCAACGACGCTGTCTGGCCGGTTACTAATCTCACGTGAGATTTCCATCTCTTTGCGTCACAGTAGATGTTATTGATCCTATATAATCCTCAATCAGATATCGTTTCTTCCCTCTACCATTCGTTAACTGACAGTCTCATAGGTACTATGGGAAAGGGCAGATATTGAGGCCGGTCTGTCAATTTTTTTTCATTCCGTCTTTCCATAACCATAGCAACTGGACCACACGACCCGCTAAGCATGTGCAGCTTTCCGCCTGGGTCAGGGTGCGCGTCTTCCACTGAAACATTCCATTCCCTTCCAGCCCTCGCGGTTGACCAATCCATTGTAAACAATGAGGGGGACCGTTTGCTCCCGGCCGCTTAGACAGGGTTGCTAGGCGCACGCATGGAATACCGCATCTGGCATTCAACACTTCATACTGCTCTATGTCCACACACCGCGAATGCGGGAACCATGGAAAACAGGTTTAGTTGTCCAAGCCTTTTGATATAAGTCTGTGACGTACCAATGACAGCTAATATTTATTTCAAGGTAACCGGTTTGGGAACTAGTTGAGCCGACATTTTCCGCCCTCCAGGCACTGCTGATGCCATAAGTTGCATCAGCAAACTGAACCCGTTGATGTCTGAGTTGAATGAATTGATGTTGCCCAGGGATGGTGATGATGATGATGATCTGCCAGAGCGTCGACCGTCACACGTTGAACCGTGCTGCTGGAACCGGTCCCATAACCTTGAGGCAATATTATTGTGCACGTTAAATTGCCTTTCGACAGATGACTCGGATTCACCGGCTTCCAATATCCTTATAGAATCCTTATTGCAATCCGTCTCTGAGAGTCTCGGCATCCTTGACGGCTGTACTCAATCACAACGGCTGCCAACACATTGACGAGAACATGGCCCTTACATTGGAAACGGCATTTCGCGTCACTAAACCGGGCTTTCTTTAACGAATGTTATACACACACATTTTGCTGGGTCATTAGGTAAAACTTTAATTCATGTACAAGTGGTTAACACCTGGTAACAATGGTTCGCTCCGCCCTACTTGAATTAATGGGCACGTCGCAATTTCATGGAACTGTACTTACTATCAATATGTAATCATAGCTCAGTAATGACTTTCTTCTTTGAATGGGGATATATCAAAGCTCATATATTTTTCAAAACATGTTTTCTTCCGATATGAAACACTATATTGACAATATTGGAGTCTTTGTGCATATTACATACGGTGGCTTGTAAATATTGAATACTTTTGGAATTGCTGTAAAGACACTTGGATGCAATTCAAGGAAACGCACCTACCTCTCCAGCAACTATTAAATCTTCGACACGTTATTGCCTACTTGCGCTACACGTGGAAAGACCATTTCGACATTTTTCTGATATGTTTATTGGTCATTTGTTTAATGCTGCATAGTTCCCTAGGTAATTTTTGTAATGTTTCTTGCTCTGCGGAGTGTATGCACTGTGATAAATCCTATCTTTCAATTACCAACAGGGGTACAAGATCGGCGGTTAAGTTCCTGACCTTGTGAAAATCGCATGTCATAATCCTATCCAAATGTGAACTATGCTTCAAAGAGCTATTATCTATTCTTTCCTCTCACTCAGTATCTCTTTTGGCTTCTGTCGTTGCAGGAAGATTCAAAAGAGGGAAGTGCCATAAGCAGCAAGAATTGACGATATCATCTCTCGTTTCTACCCCCTCTCGAACATATTCGCCAACTCGGCAGTCGATGGTTTTCTGAACATCCATCGGAATGTCTTCAACCACGAACAGAATGTCGATAAGTTATTGCATGCCGTGTAAAAATTGATTACTTAAACATTAAGAATGGGTAAATGCATTCCGATCTCCTTGCTCAAGATATCTCTGAGTTTCTTATAACACATATCGCGTTTTTTTTAAGTCTCCCTTAGGAAACTGAGGGCTGTCGAGTCATGTTACACCCTGAATGAATGCAGTTCACCTGAATTACGACCTCTTACAAAGGAAAGGCAGCATTTTAAGAATCCTTGTTGTATCACAATTCCTCGCTACTTTTACAGGTCATTCAATCTGGGACACAATTATGACGTCGAAGAGTTCTCCGAAAGAATTTTCGGAGACATCTCCTTCGAGGAAATCACCGGTGTTTGGAGCGTGGTGCGCAGCATTCATCCCTCGGCTCTTCTCCCTTCCAAAGATCGACTCAAAAGAATCACCATGGTCAGGGGCGCCCTGGAACAGTTCCCATGGGACTACATGCAGCATTTCACGCAACTCACGTCGCTCGAATTCCAATACAATCGATTGACAGGATTACCGCCTGTACAAAGCGACAGTCTAGAATTTATCGGTCTTACTAGCAATCAAATCACCACCTTGATGACTGGTTCGTCTATGCCGAACTTGAAGTCATTTCTTCTTTGTAAGTTTCACCTTCAATGTATTGGCTCGATGATTAGATTGGTAGCTCGAAATGTATTATTATTATTTCCAGCATCTTGGTTTCGTCTTCATATTTCAGAAAGAAGCTACGGGCAAGTTTTGACCCAACAATATTTCTTACGAGACGCATCTCACGGCAATGCTATTGATGAAAACTACTCATTTATTCATTTATTTAAATTTGAATTACTATTTTAACATCAGGACGTTTTCCACATTAACGTTTAACTCCATGGATGCCATAATATATCATCATGAAGAGCTCATCGCATATATAGGGTGGTTAAAAATAAGCTTCATCGTTTTCTATGGGAGAAACACAGTTTCATGAATTCAGCCAAAAAAAATTACATTGGATACGAGATCAATATTTGATAATTACAAGGTGTTGAAATGCTTGCCAGCTTTATTTCAGCACCCTTGCGTAAGTCGTGCAATTCCCATTTAGAGATGAAATAAGGGCGCTTAGAGGTGGATCATTCCACCGCAAGTGAGGTGATTACCTGTGCTCTTAGATTTCAATGAATTTTTAAACTTTAACTTTTCAAGGGACAGTTGAATTCAGCTCATACTTGACAGAGTGGCTCATGAGTCTAAGGGCTTTTATTTTTTTACTTCCGTAAGATGGCGCGTGACCGAGGGTGATTAAAAGAAGGATCCACCGTTTTCTAAGGGGAGAAAATACGATTCGTGCATTCGAGTAAAAAATATGAGATTCATAAGCTCTTGATGTTGGACATATAGGTGTTAAGAAAATGATCTGTTATTTTTATCACGAACAATTCTTTAAACAATATACTGTCCTGTTACACATTCTACATTTCATATTTTTTTATCATCCTCGGTCACCAGCAACAGCGCCCTCTATCGGGATACAGCGCCATCTTGCGGAAGTGAAAAAACACTTTGACTCATGAACCACTCTGTCAAGTATGAGCTGGATCCAACTGTCCCTTGAAAAGTTAAAGTTGAAAAATTCCTTGAATTCTGAGACCACAGCTAATCACCAACTTGAGGTGGAATGATCCACCTCCAGACACCTTTAATTCACCTTTAAATGGGCATTGCACGACTTAGGCAAGGGTGCTGAAAAAAAGCTGGCAAGCATTTCAACACCTTGTAATTGTCAAATATTGATCGCATATCCAATGTAATTTTTTTGCTGAATTCATGGAACTGTGTTTCTCCCATAGAAAACGGCAGAACGTTTTTTTAACCACCATATATACGATTACAGGAGAAAGCTGAAATTGAATCCGCGTGTTTGCCTTTCGTTACGCTTCACCTTGAACTGGGAGAGCAGATAAATTGCGATGTATCGAACCTGTCTCCTGACAGTAAGGTGCCGCTCTCATGAGTAACTATAATAATGATAATAAACCGTTACTCCGTTAAAACATTATTGATATGCGACTTCATCTCGAAACAAATATTCAGACCACTGCAGTGCCTCCCAGAGCATTCCCGAATATGATGATTTCTCTCCAACTTTGGAGATGTGGGCTGCAGGTAAACTTCCCTATACACCTCCCCCCCCCCCCCAACCCACCCGATTGTATAGTTTCCTCTAAAATCATGCCAACCTCCGTGCACCGAGCGTAACTGCAGTTGCATCGCAGGCGGAGATAAGGCGGCTTTGTAACAAGTTTCGAGTCCAATTGGCCTGATATCAACGTTCATATTCCCCCATTTGTAATTAAGTGAACATCTCGCTCTGGCTGGCTATGGAAACTGTTGGATATCCCTAATGTTTCGTTTTCGTTGAATTTTTATGTAGAGTAACTTCGTTTTGATTTATTTCATTGTTTTCTTTCAAACATTATCTCGGTGTGCATAGCTCCCGAACTTCTCCTACTCTGCTACCTCAAATTAGTGCACGTGAATTCAAATTCCTTACCAGGAAAGAACACAATGTCACGATATGTCTGCAGGCCATTGCTTTGCTAAAAATATTTATGCTGCAGAAATTCCATACAAGTCCCAACAATTATACATCCATCCAAGTTAGAAAAAATTGGAACAAAGGAAGAAGGACTAGGTAATAAAATTACTTTATGCTCTGTTAACTTTCATGGGTTTCATATTTTTCTTCTTTCCGCCCTTCCAATTAGCCGGATATTAATTTAAGCCGCATGACTCATTAAATTCTATTGAATCCCATGCAGATCAGAACCAGGTTTCGGATATACAACCTGGATTTTTCTTGGGACTCACGAGCTTGGAGGAAATTTCTTGTTATCCCTGCCCTTTGGGACCTACTCTTCGGAACGGTACCTTGGCATTTGATAGTCCATATTTGGAATATGTGGAGTTCCCAGTCAGCGGAATCTCAAGCCTGGAATCGCACGCGATAACAGGTATGATGCGACTAAAGTGGCTCAACGTGACCAATTTATAATTCATGAGTAACTTTATTTTCTCCTTTTTAAATGTGCATCACGACTTCAGTACGCATAAGGTTACTAAGGAGACTAAAAACTGATCATCTTCTCCATTCTTTCAAGGTTTAAGGCCCGACACGATAGTTGAATTAAGTGGTAACCCCATATCGGAGTTGACAGAAGGGACTTTCCGCCCCATGCTTGAGATCCTCTCGCAGGGAGATGGAAGCATCTCATTAGGCAGTGAGCTCCTCGACTGCTCTCTTAGGTGTGTTAGATCGTGCAACCTCACGCATCTCTACTTGTACATTCCAGGTCACATTGTTTGTGACTGCACGATCGCCTGGCTAGTACTCAATCCGAACTTTCATGGAAGCATCATTGCCTCCTGCGCCGATGGTGGACTACCCATTCAAGAACTCAATCCGGAGGACTTTGCAGACTGCAACGTGATGGGGTCTCCAATGGCCGGCGACTTCCCGATTTCGATCTCTTCCGATTGAAATAAATGGCTGTACCTACCCAGGAGAAAATGTTCTATAGAATTTCTATACTAAGTGCCTATAGAGATTCTATAGAGACTTTGTAGAAAATTCTACCATATTTCTATAAAATGTCCATAGAATAATTCTATAGGGATTCTATAGTATCTCAATATAGGGAGCTGAAAGAGATCACACAGAGACCTTTGGTAGTCTTAGGATTTCCTTAGGGCAATACTTCACAGATCTATTTCCACTATACTGAAGTCCTGTGGGACTACCTAATCCATGATTTCCCTAGATATAATCATTTTACTTGCTTTGAGATTATGCAAACCATCTACAAGAAGCACAACAATATGGGTATTAAAAATTCACTTAATGATATTGATATGGTACACCTCCAATTAAGGAAAACTTAAGATGACATATGATCTCTTAACAATTAAAATGCATACCTCTAGTGGATTGCATAAATTTATAATTAGTTATTCAATATAAAAATTACCATTTGAAATTGTTAGAATTTTACATGATATCTGTAAAATACGAACATGTACTCCCAACTTCTGAATCAAGTTGAAACATGTACCAGCACAAAAAACACAATACACAGTAGACACTTGAAGAAGAATGTCCTTTATTTCCAGGAGAAATTAGCACAGAGAAGAAAATAATTATAGAATAAGATATGAATGCATTAAGAGATGGCTTTTACTTCCTTTCAAGTTCCTTGATTGCCAGATGATATCAAGACATTCCTTGTGTATTTTGTCTTCTCCATTGTGAAACCTGTTAAAATGAAAATATGTACAAATCAACTTCTAATCAATGAAAATATTACATATATCAAGTAGTTACAATTTCAAATTAACTGCCCTGAACTTTGAAATGATGTTACAAAACCGTTAGACCTCTTCCCATTACATGTAGCACATCTTGGCCTCCTTGGATTCCATGCATTATGACTTAGTCATAATTTCTGCTGAAGACTTGTGATGAAATTATAAATGTAAGACTGTGATTGAAGAAAACAGGCTAGGAGACTTAATATTGCTGCACATGGCTCTGAGCTTAAGCAGCTAATCTCAAAGACACTGAAAGAATTATCCTCTACAAGGAGCCAAAAGCCCATAAAACGTAAGACCTTATAGAATTTTCCAGGACAGATTATTTGTTTAAAGCCTACCTACCAATCAAAGCATAGCACTTTGGATATCTTCAGAAATATTTATTTATACACTGCCTTTTAAATTGCAGCATCAAGAGGTTGAGAAACACTGTTTAAATTTGGTACATAAACTTGTAGCACACTATGAAATTGATTAGTTTCAAGAGTGCAGAATGATTGAATGGTGAGGGGGTTAGGGTTCCTACTAATTTCAATGGCAGACAGTGCACATGTTATATACTAGGTATATAAATGAAAGTCAGACTTACTCAGAATAGATTGAAGATGAGATTGATCCTGAGGCAGATGAGCTTCATTTCCTAACTGGCCATGACAAGCCTTGCATGTCAAAGACCTCACTTCAAGTCTTCCATGGAGATTTTCACTGGGAGACAATGGGGCAACCTAACACCAGACCCATTTGCCATTACTATGACATTGCTCAAAGTTCTCTTTGATGACATCACACCACTCCCAATGTCAACAAGCTTCCCAGGAATCTTACTTAAGCTGAGTTAGGTTGAAGCTGTAATATAAGTTCCTCCTAATTTCCTAATTTCCAATGGGTCCCCATGGGTCGAAATGGGTCGCCATGGGTCGAAATGGGTCGCCATGGGTCGAAATGGGTCGCCATGGGTCGAAATGGGTTGCAATGGGTCGCCATGGTTCACTCTACCACTCTAGGTCAAATTTGGTCTGCTTCAATTTTTGTGAAACTACTATATCACACACCTGATAATTACACCCATATTTGGTCAATTGGGCCACTTTGGGTCGCCATGGGTCACTCAGTATCATTCTGGGCCACTTTGATCAGACTGCGGATTACTCTTATTCCCAAATAAATTATTTTATTTTCGGTTTCTTTTTTGTAAGGTTTGAATTTCTTACGGCGTATTTTAGGATTTCAAAGGCACATGGAATGTGGACCAGCATGCATTTAATCAAGGAGCATCCAATTTGGCGGCGCTTACACATAAAACTGATCCCGCTCTTAAAGGAAGATTCTTATTTGAACTGGAACTTAGCTAAATTTCTGTCAATGGATGTATCATGATTGTAACTGTTTGTTGCTCTAGTTTGAAACATTGCATGTCTTTTATTCTCGTAGAACCGATGGATAACCTCCTTAGCCATGCTGTGATTCCATTGCCTCTCCAAGTGAGTCTCTTCTCATATTATGGAGCAGTTCACATTGACAATATGCAAATTAGCTTCTATAGGGCTTCCCAAAGTAGGTGTCATTTTAAATTAGGAAAAAAAACGCAATTAATTTTGAAAAAGTGCAGATATTTTTCTTTCAATCCAAAGTACAAACATGGAGGTTAAGTGTGAAATATGATATCATTTAAATGTCCACCTTGACCCTTCTGGGATGACCCTTCTGATCATCCTTTCGACGAAGTTTTTCATGACTTTTTTGCACATTTCTGGCTCAATATCACGAATAACAGCTCGAATGTTGTCTTTCAATTCCTGAGTCATCTTGGGACCATTAGCATAGACTCTCCCCTTCACGTATCCCCACAGGAAAAAGTCCAATGGCGTCAAATCACACGATCTAGGCGGCCAATTCATGTCCCTATTTCGTGAAATAACGCAACCAGGAAATTTCTCATGCAATAGCCCAATTGTTTCGCCAGATATGTGGCAATTATGCGCCGTCTTGTTGGAAATAAAAAATAATTTTTACAATTTCTATGCGTTGCGCGACTGTGTATCGTTCCATTTCCACAAACCTCCTAATTTTTAGCTGTCACCTGTCAAATACTGACGTTCAAACTTTGACCGTTCAGAAATGCCGCGAAATTTAAAATGACACCTACTTTTGGGAAACCCTTTACATTGGCACCTCGATCGCTGGTTTTTAATGGAGTGTGCCTGGAAATGTTGAGACCAGTCGCAAATGAAATCGTGTGCAACAAAAAAGGCGAATGAGAAAAACTGCCACTTGAAAATTTATTTAGTGCAATTAAGTGGTAATTAGCAAAATTACTCCATTGCTGTGATGACTAGGATGCTGAACAGGGAGAGGGTGACCTGACAAGACTCACCAACCAGATTCACGAGAAAATGAATATAATTGTGAGTCATAATAGAATCCGGTTTATTCATTATGTATTAAGTTAGAGCCTTTATTGCTCCAAAAATGTTTAGCACTAACATGTAAGAGAGAGATTCCCCCCCCGTCTGGCGTCCAAAGGGATGCCGCCATAAGGGGGGTGGTGTCAATAACAATGTTATTGTCATATAACAATGGAAGGGTTAGGGGGGAAGGGTCCCCTATTGTGTGACGTCAGGGGCTTGCCCTCCTCCTTTCCTGTCGTCTGCTCCGACCCCGCCCCTGACGAAGGGGTGGTTTAGGTATGCAAATGAGTGGATGTATGCTATTGATGCGGGGTGTATTTGCCTCGATAAGAATCGGCGACGGGGATGTGTTTTCTTAATCGCATGCGGAGTCACAATTAATTAATTAATATGATGGAGATGCGAGTTGCGTAATAGGGGAAATTAAATATTCTACGGCATCATACCTCTCTCGTTCCTGTGGTTCACAGAGGAAGACTCATTCAAGCTATGCAAATGCTTAAACTCGAGAAGAAAAAGAAACAATAAGGGGTATTGATGTCGCGGCCAGGAATCGAACCTGGGCTTTTGCTGTCATAACGCATCGTACTAACTACTAGACGGTCACGGCTACCGATCTCACGAGCAAGTTGACGTATTTACACATATGATGTGAACGAAAAAACAATCACCCTTCATCTCAACGCCCTATGGTGTCTGTTCAGGGAGCAGTTCTCCAGTTTTCACAGGCAGGTATTAGAGGGGAATGGAAGCCCCTAGAATTTCCGCGCCCTGTGACGTCAGAGGTTTCCCCCTATCCTAGTCCCTTTGTTCAAAACAAAAAAGGTCTTGAGAAGGTGTTTAGGCCCTCGGACGCTTTGTAACATGAACAAAAGATCATTCTTGACGGGCTCTTTCCTTATTCAGGCAGCGGACCCCTTTCTATATCTGTTTGAAGGAATGTGAAGGGTATTTTTCCCACGGCTTGAAAAAAATGATTGACATACATACCGGGTATATCAGAAATGAATGAAATGGAGTTGAACTCAGTCATCCTCGTGAATTGCAAGGAACGGCATGGAGCCGGTAGGAATGGACACAGTAGATACCATGAATCTTTCAGATCCATTGTTTCAGTTACCGTTATTTTTACGTACTCCTATGTTATGTACACCTATGTACACCTAGACGCAGTTTGGAATCCATGACCCCCGAAATTATGTAAGTTCTAATTGGAATTTTTTTTTTTTAGAAGGGTCATCGATGGTAATTGGAACTTGTCATTTTTAGTGAAACTCTCGACTTGGGGAAGAAAACAACACCGTCATTCACATCGAATGAAATAAGGAGTGCATTTCGCAATGCGAATATGGAAAATGCGTACTATGCTCCCGAGAAGCCTGGTAGCTATGGTGGGGTGGAGGCGTTTTATAGAAGCGCCAAGGAGCAAGGACTGAAAGTGACGCGAAAGGAAGTCGGTGTTTGGC